AGATTTTTAAATATTCTTTTGAATAACAAAAGGACTACATTTATTTTATTTAAAGCTGGATGGTCCGCAAGTGTTCAGCATATTTTTACCCATTGATATTACTGCCTAGGACTGTTTACCACATGTCCAAATGATGAATACTTCCTTTTCACCTGGACGCTATTTCTTTGCTTACATGAAGCTCTTAAAGATCACATGACCATTTTAAGCTTTTAAAGTTTTGAGGTAAAACACATGAGCCCGTTAACTGGATAAAAATTTCATAATCTAGCCATCTTTACCTCACTTATTTGAAATTCCGGTGAGCACTATATCACCCGACCTGTTTTATATTTCATTGAAGCGAAATTTATTCATTTATTCATAAAACTTCTACACTGGTTGTTGTGGCCTTCAACTCGACATTTAGATATATCAAATAATAGTTACTTTCATTCATACATTGTATGTCGACTCTATACATATATCCCATTGAACTTGAAATAAAAGTCTGTCAAATCTGTTTTTTTTATTTGGATGTTTTACTGACTATAGACGATTAGGGCCAACTATAACAAGTAAATTGTATGGCAAACGAAGTGACTTTTCCATCGTCAACTTTCCTTATTTAGTATATGTAATATTCCTCGATCACCTACATATAGTAATAATAATTTTTTGACCATCTAAGATCTTTCTCTGCGAATATGAGTGTGAACGTTTTGAAAAACGAGAAACTTTTATAGTGTAAAAGCAACATTTCAAAAGAAAAAAAAATCAGAAAAAAATTAAAGAACAAAAAGATCAGTTCATTTTTTATTAAATGTTAGCGTTCATGTTTAGCTAGATTCGATTTTGTTTTAGCTATGGTTTCTGTGTATAAATTAATGTCTGATGGAGAAATGTTACACAGATGAGCGTAGTGGTGTATATACGTCTTGTTTCTGCGATGTCAGACGTCAAGCAAGTAATGAAAACGTCCCAATCGTAATTTCTAATTCAAAATAATTATCCTTGCATCATGCGTAAGATATTTCAGACAGAAATTTTGATTTTTCCCTATGATTCTGTCATGTTGCACGATATCGTGAAGTAATCACCTTCATACTCTTTTTGTTTTAATGCACTACTGTCACGAATCACCATAAATGCATGTAATACTGGTACTTAAATTGATTTGGGTTCCAATCGGATAAAGGCTTTAAATATGTGATGAAGCTGGGGCTCTTTTCTCATTCTTTGTTTTTATGAAGCAATACCAAGTTCACAATAGAACTCAGGTATACAGGAATAGTATGCCTGCATTTCGACCACTGTTTCATGAATCTGTTTTTGATTCACTGGCATCCTGTACTTCATGTAAATCAGGCAAGGATATTCATCAATTAAAGCCACGGCAACGAGTCATCAAAAGGTAAGTGATTAGAAACGAAAATAAAATCTACTTCACGGCGTCTGACACCTTGTTGGCACAGCGTTTCGTACAAGTACTTAGCCTAGAGAGTTGATCCTTACGTCGCGGGTTTGAATCCTACTGCAGGTCGTGGAGACCAAATATGTCCGAATAAACCGAGGTCACGTATCGCACAAGATGCTGGGACGAAAAATCACTCATTTCTCAATGGCTATAACAGTCGAGTACATTTCTACATTTGCAGCCTCCCACCGTAAACTCATAGCATCCAAACATGAGTGAAAAATCTCGAAGGAATAAAGCAAATAACTAACCAATAATTTGTTAGCAATACAATTACTACTCACTTCCAGAAAACAGCAAACAACCCCCCTCACCCCCCCCCCCCCCCCCAAAAAAAAAGAAATCAAGAAAACATGGACCACAACAATTCTCTGGTGGGCCAATATTCCCTCGGCTGATTTTTTTCATCAGATTTTAGACAGAATTTCTTTTCCCCTTTTTATTCTGATGAAAATTTCTCCATTTTGTGGCTCCACCCCACCTCCACGATTTATAAAACTTAAAAGTGCTCTACTAAAGGTAGCTACAGAACTGTGGCTCTCTAGTTCAGAAATTTTGGACAGACAAACAAAAACTACAGATCCAAGCATTGAAAAAAAAAACCATTTCAATTTACGGCACCGCTTTTTGTTGCAAGTACTATTTCTTGTAATACATGGGTTCCCTCGCTGGAAGCATGGTATCCATGAATTACCCATAGATGTTACTCCTAATCTACCGGTAGATACTTTATTTACCTTTCAACGGACCCAAACAGCGTGATCCAAACAGGGATGCCGGAATGCAAATGTTTCGAAACTGGCACTCCATGGCCAAAATAGGGCTGTTTGGGACCGGTGAAAGGTAAATATTTAGATTAAAAGTAAAATCTATGCTATCATATCCAATGTAAAACTTTGATCCCGTATTGTGACCCAACTCTACCCCACGGGCTATGATTTGGACATCTAATCCCCTACTATGGCCCAATCCTACACAATTTGAGCAAAGAATCCATAATATACCTGGAAGCTCACACGTTTGATCTTTTAGGTCCAGTGGTTCTTGATATTCAGATGACTCTCGTCCTATTTTTGCCTCTTGTTGCTTATTTCCCGTTGGAATGGGGGCATAGTCTAAAGTTGAATTCCCTTCATCGAAGGATACTTAATGCAAAGTTTGGTTGAAACTGGCGTAGTGGCTCTGAAAAAGAAAAAAAAATGTGACTGTTTTTTTTTTTTTACAATTTCAGTTCAAAAAGGTCAGATTAAATGTACCCTAGCATCAAAAGAAGGGTATTGACCCCCATTTTTGTTTTGATTTTTAATTAAGCTTTGTGTTTATATACTAAAAATATACTTGACAAAAAAAATCTGAAGACTTTTGAAAGCAGGATCCAATCTCCTTAACCTTCGTAGAAAAAGTAGCTCTTGGACTTGATACTATGACAACAGCAATAAACCGATATATAGAATTATTCATCTTAGTGTAGTTTACTTTTGTACCAATATTGAAATCGGATTAAAACTGTAGGATGAGTAGCGTTTTAAAAGAATTTCACAGAAAATTCTATTTTTAGAACCCATGGCAACACCGTTCATTGAAATCAAAAACCGATAAACAGAATTAGTCTGCTTGTGTACCAAGTTATATTGAAATCTGACTAAAATTGTAGGAGGAGTAGCGTTTTGAAAAATTGTTTACAGACAGCTAGACAGACGGACATTTTACTATCGCATAAGCTCTCCTGGTCTCTGACCAGTAGAGCTAAAAACGTTATCTTAATATTATTACACCTTTGGAAGCCGAATTATGCAAACAAAAATGATTTTTTCTAATTCAAGGATGCTCGACTCTGGAAAAGAAATTTTAGACTAGTCATCCATCAAAAAGAAAATCAATTATTAGTAAGACAAATTGAAACTTATCACTACATGTTATTTGAAAAGAATATAGAAGAGTGACAAGTTGAGCTTAGAGTACCAATAAATACTATTTTGTTTAAATCATACTTTTATATGCAGATTTTTTTGTTTATGTGTTTGAAGAATTCGACAATAATTTTGATGTTAACTGATTGATGAAAGAATAACAGAATCACTGAATTTTTAAAAATCCACTGTAATTAACTTCTCAGTAACAAATGTTTCATAAATTGAAGGAGTTATCTTTACTTTTGCATGCTACTATAAACTTACCATGAACAGCAGATTTCATGGAAAGGGTTTTAACAAGTACAGACTCCTTAAAGTGTTACAAGAATGATAATGACCAGTTTTCATACTTGACGAATTAGAGGCCTACCTTTACCACTCTCACCTGACTCTATTTCTCTTTCATGAAAATGAATCATTCGTGTATAAATAAAAGCTCTTATTCTGCTGCCCAAATCAAACAAATTAACAAACAAACAAAACAAATAATCACACACAAAAAAATTAAAACAAATACAAACAAATAAAAAAAACCCGCTCAAAACAAACAAACAAACGAATAAATAAATAAATACTTTACAAAAGTCCTTGCTTTCAACAAAGTATCGCTCCTTCGCCTTCGCATTCTCGCCTTCCTTTTTTGGTGGAGCTTTATATCATTTGAAGATAATTTTATTTCAAAAAATGGCGTCTACAGCGAATGCGTACCAATAACATCCAAGAGAAAAAAAATTCTGGCGCATAAAGGCGAAGGCAAAATTGAGAAGATGCGAAGGCATAGTGCGGTAAATTAATGAACCTACACACAATTACTCTAACAATTCACTGAATTTATCCCACTAAAATAAACTCATAACAATAAAGAGGTCCACAAAAGTAAAATGTGAAGGCGAAAGTGCGAAGTTGCAAAGGCGAAAGTTTGACATTAAGTATCGCTCCTTCGCAACTTCATGCTTCACAGTCGCATCTTTTGCTCCTTCGCAACTTTGCACTCTCACATCTCTGCCCTAAAGGCGAGAGTGCCAGGGTGCGACTGGTCCCAACGGAACACCATAGTTTTGAGAGTTACAAAAGAGGATTCTACCCATTCGATTTCATAAGACCCAATTTCTTCATCAAGTCAATCTCTCAATTTAAAAAAAATAAATTTTTAACATGTCTTTTTTTTCCTTTTGTAGGCGAAGTGATAAATACGAATTCTATTGTTGTCACTGCAGTTATGGAACTGATATCTTTAGTGATGCTATTTCACATGCCATACACAGTCACAGTCATCTAAAGATTAGAATTGGAAAAAAGTCCGAGCAAGAAGACTCTGCAGGGAATTCCCGATCACTTATTCATATCCGCCAATGGGATGTCATACCCCATCAAGTGCACTCCGACGGACATGTAATTAAAGCAAATGATGAAACAGAGAATCTGGAAATCTGTGAACCATTTAAAAAGTCCGAAATGACTTAAACTTTCAATCAATTATGAGAAATAACCCTGTTGACTGATTTAAAAAGAAAACATCAAGAAAAAGATGTTCAAAAGAGAAAGAGTTAGACTAATGGGATTTTTTTTAAAAGAAAAAAGATCATTTTATCAATTGTTTTATTATCTAAAATCATTGTTTTTTTCCTAAAATAAATTAAGATACAACATGAATGAAACTTATACAAGAGATGATAAGAAAATGTACTGTGTCTGATGGTCATATTGCTATAAAAAAATGATATCTTGTCCTAAGTCCAATGTAAAGGCAAACCTTCAATCTTCAACCTTTATGATGACCATTATATTTTCATACAAAGAATTATTCTAGTACAGCAAAATATAGAACAAGTGAGGCACTTCAAACATGTCTCTTAACTGAACACAAAACTGATATCTGAGCACTGTTTTTTAAATGTTATATAATGAACATCAGCTGCCTTTGATGTCTTTTGTCTCCTCTACATACATCTGCATGTTTAGGTATGGGGACGTGGTTGATTTAAGGGGTAGAATAGAAGAATTTTCCATCATTGTCTCCTGTTCAGAGGCTTCTAACCAAGGGAAATCTTCTTCCACATTTTTATCAAACATTCTGGCTGCGGCAGACTCACGCGTGGTGGCATGGACTGTCCATGTGCAGTCAGGAGGAAGGGGTTTCAATAGAGAGTCTGCCATGTTTATCTTCAACAAAAATGACCTCAAGGATTGCTCCAGCTGATACAGATATCTGTCTGTCTGCTTAAAACAAAGATGGGTAAAAGTTCATAGAAATTTGACAATTTGTATAATGTATTGGTCTCTTCTGAGAAATAATTCTCAATAATGGGTGTTTGCTGTATGAGTTAATGCTGTATGTTAATTAGCAAGGAGTGTCAGTATATTTTTATGTTTTTCTTTTCACTTCTAAAATGATTCATCTTAATTCTTCAGTTGTTGATGTTATGTAATGATATTTATATTCAGTTATAGTTCTTGTGTTTGGTTTACCTGTTGTTGAGGAATTGAAGGTTTATTGATCTCAAGGATGAACTTTTCTACTGGCTGTGAATCACTATTACAAATCACTATTGCAACTTTTTCTAATTGACCTTTGGTATTGAATTCTGATATACCATTAACTACCTAAACAAAAAATATAATAAATCAGTTTACAAATTCTGTGTAATTTTGATAAATAAAACAAAACTAAGGAAATATTTCATAATGTATTTTATGGGACAGTTGTTTAAAATGTCATTTAAAACAATATTTTTTAGAGTCATACTTTATATTTTAAAATGTGCATTCATTATTCTATAAGTGGAATTTCAGAGGACTAGAGTTTTTTGTTTTTTTTTTTGGATAAGAACAGAAGAGCACACAGAATAATTTTTTTTAAATTAAAAAATACAAAATAAAAAAAAATCCTATAATACCTGAGTAATGTAGCGATTGACTTCTGGATGAACACATATTTGTACAGGGACATTGTACTTCTTTCTCCTCTCAAACACACCTGCAGGGTAGAGCTCCCTGTCATACAGAATGCTATGGATGGCTACTTCTAGAAACTCACTGAAAATGTCCAGGCCTATTTGTGTGACATCTGGTTCTGCCATTCCATTAAGATCCTTCATATGCAAGTGAAAGACTGGTTAACTACTAGTTAGTATAAGGACATGTATATTATTGCTTAGAAAGAGATAAAATGCAACAGATCAGACCAGGATTTGAACCCCTTCCTTCTCTTGTGTTCCAGATTATATATAGAAGATACAGCACTTTAGCTATCTGTCCACAACAAAAATGTGCCTGCCTAACATATTCTACCCCCCTTCACATGTAGAGTTTTTGATCCATATAAAGACTTAAACCCAAGCTCCCCCTTATCAGGATTTGTCTCCTTTAATTCAGGAGGTTATGGTTAGGGGAAGAGATATGGCATTAAGTGCTACATGGAAGACTTGTAATAGACAAGATTAGGCTTCAAAGTTCAAACCCATGCCAACTGAAAGCCAAACAGATGTTCTACATGTACCAACTAAGTTATCAAGCCATGGTGAATAAACCTGCCAGAATCAACATTTTAAGGGAGCCAACTGCGGTATTTTTTCTCGATTTGATATACAGTGCAAAATCTCCATTTTCAGATTGGTTTACTTTTTGGTTGGGATCGTTATTCAGACAGGTTTGGCATAGGTTAAATAATATGCTACTCAGCATAATTAAATTTCAAAAAGTTTTTAAGGATTGGTAGTTTGTAAAATACTCTCTAACAGTCAATTCATTCTAATCAATTTCTCCAAGTCAATTTGCATGTAGATTAAATGACTGTGGACTTAGTGAAACAAAACATAAAACAACGTAACATTGAATTTGTTTTCTTCTATCGAAATGTATTGTATCATAAATATCCGTACCGAGACAAAATTATATGATACATATTGTATCGTAAAAATGGTGCATCTTTTCATTCCTATTGAGGCTCAATCACACAATCTAATAGAAAAATTTCCTTGCCAAAAGTTATTGCTTTCAATCAAGGTGAATGTATATATATGCAGATTTCCTAAAAAAAAATATCAAATATAATTTTTCCATCTTTCTTTTCAATGTAAATTTATATCCCATTTAGGATATAAAATCCCATCCTCACAACACCAGGGGTCCTGTTTTAATCTTTGAAGGAATAATGTATTATCCAAAATTAGTATCAAAGAAAATTGTACTAATAACGATGCTAACATTTAAAGCTAATGTAAGAACGTTCAAATATGCCTTATTTTATACGAATTAAATCCTACTATGTTACCTGATCAAAGTATATCAACCATATCTTTACTCCTACTAGCGAGGAATATTCCTGAAAGAAAAAACAATCTATCTTTGTTTACAAGGAAGTACTTTTCGCTACATAAGTAACAAACCAAGAACATGCAAGCTGCATAATTCCGAATTAATATCTTTAAAAAAAATTATTTGGAATGAAGAGGAAATATGTATATATAGATATTATTAACCTTTTTCTTTGTCTGTCTGTCAGGCTGTTCTGTCTGTTAGTTTTGTTTTCCATTATTTTTCATGTTTGCATTCAATATCACTCATTTTGGCACTCTTGAAAGTGAAGTACACTCGATAGCGCATTATATAATTTTATATAGAGCTCTAAGAATTGGAGAATCCGTATGACTTATCGGGAACTTATAATCGGGAAGATATAAATATTTTTATGTCTCTGTTGGGAATTTGACTATTGCACTGGCGGATTTAGAAGGGGGTTCACCCAACCCCACACCCCTTTGTGATAAAAAAAAATATATAAGATTAATAAATCATTTTTTTTTAATTTTGCGATATTAATTATGCATAAAGTATGGCTAAAATAAGTCGAAAAACGTTTCCATAAAACTCCTAAAACTTGAGAGCTTCCAGGGCCCTCCCACCCCAGAACGCTGATCACCATCCCCCTTCTTTCAAGAATCCTGGATCCGCCAACTGTAATGAGGGTTTTGTTTTGTTTTTTAAATTTTTTTTAACTCGTTATTTTTGTTTGTTTTTGAATTATCCTTCTACGTTCTGAAAGTGTTTTAAAGTCTTTTAGAAACTAGATCAATACACTGTATTATTTTTTTCACACTATAAAGAACAACAAAGTTGCAAATAATCATTGAGTTTCATGAAAGTAGATACATTAAATGTTATTTTTTGATAGTAGAAGTCTGCCCTATATTTTTTTAAAGAAAAGAAAATAATGTACAAATTAATATTTAGAGATTATGTGATTAACATTACTAACATATGATAAGACAAATTAATATATACATGTACATGTATCAATATCTGAGCCGTGAGTAAGACACAAAGAAACAAAGGATAGATGCTTACTCTTTTTGAAGAAACTTCGGCTATATTGCCATTATCTTCACTCTATCGTCCAACTCTCCTAGCTGTTATCATGACAGAAAACGCATCATGTGCAAATAAAAATATGCAGTTTTGGAATTTGATCTTTTACATTTTAGATTTTGAATATATATTATAAATGTAATGTGCATTATAATCCGGAAACTTGTTTTCTGTCCAGAGCATGCAAACATTACATGGGCAAACAAAACTTTACTACGTATTTAACTTACCTTTGGCACAATTCGGGGAAACTGCAATTTCAGTTAATGGTGTCTGCAAGACTAATTAATCATGGTCTCCAGCATAAAAAAAAGTAATCTGCAGTAAACCACAAGATAGTTTAAAATACTTTCTTGGTATTTTGTCATCAACACTAGTATGTGTGTTGGTTATACCGTTGACAATGTTACGATTAAGTTATGCGTTTTGATTGATGTTCTTAGAGACTAGTTCTGAACTGTGTACGAAAATGGTTTATTGCAGGTAATCTAGTCTGCAGTAACATAACCTCGCCCTAGATACATTTTATTTTCTATGAATCATTATATAATTTTACGGTCCACTTATTCTATATAAATATCTAGTAAACTTTTCCAAGAATATCTGTGATATATTTGTATATTATTCAGAACTTGCGACTGATTATTTTTGGTGTTGGTTCCTATTTCTTAAGGAATCACTGCTCAATCTGTTCCGAGATTTTCATTCCCTCAACAATCCTGGTCATGAAAGCTTGCTTTCAAATTTTTAAAAATAAGAATTGTAAACACTATCATAGTACTCACGAGTTTTGATTCTGTTGTAGTTTTCAGGTCCGTAGCAACGGTTTCAAAAGTGGGGGGGGGGGGAGGGTCCTTAAAAAAATCTGACAAGCAAAAAGAAAAAAAAGTCCAAAAAGTGTAGGGGTAGCTTCCCAAAATAATGAAAAGAAAAAAGTCCTTAACTTCCCAGGCAAATCATGGTATTTGCCAGTGCTCAACCTTACAGCAACAAAACGTGTGTGTAAGGGGGGGGGGGGGCATCTAGTTGAAAATTTACTATAGCAAAATACTATACTCAGAAACCCTAGTTCTACAGGCCTGGTTTTATTCAGTTAGAATGATGTACCCTTAGATGTCAGACAGAAAAAAATGATTGATTCATTGATTGTTGTTGTTTTATTGATTATATGTTGTTTTACGCCCCATTCGAGAATTTTTCACTCATATAGAGACGTCAACATATACCAGTGAAGGGCTTCAAATTTTGACCTTCACTCGGCACTCAGGACCATTGAGCAGTGAGGGATCTTTATCGTGCCAACGCCTACCGTGACACGGGGCCTCGGTTTTTAAGGTCTCATCCGAAGGACCCGCAACTTTCACTTTAAAGTGCCGAGCGCATGGCGAAGGAACAGTTGCTACCCATTTTTTATCGACTTAGGTCATTCGCGGCCGAGATTCGAACTCAAGACCTCCCGATCACGAAGCGAGCGCTCTACCGACTGAGCTGCCGTAAACGGTATAGAAAAAAAAAAAACTGAAAATACAGTGAATAACATTTGTAATAGATTTTAAGTATATACTTCACATTATATTAGACCAGGATAGAGTAATTGAATGCATTATTTGAGTGTATTTTCCCAATGTAAGTAAACAATAATGGTTTCTATTAACGCTTAATAGTCTTTCTTGAGGAAAAATATGGTAAGTACCATATATTGAAGCTCAGTATGTATATGTATATCTTTATCTGATATAATTTTCTCAAAGTCCAGATTTTTCAGTGATAAGAGCCTCATTAATTTAAACTTAACAAGAATATTAATGTTTAAACAGATTTTTCTGGAAGATATGGTTTGAGTTCTATTATTCAACTCGATCATTAACATGATGGCTTTTTTCTGCATTTAACGTAACTTTCCTCTGAAATATTATTTTCTTTTACAAATTTAGATTATGAACATTTTTACCTAAAGATACGATTAGTAATAGAATAATATGTTATGTTCCAGCAGTCAAGGCTTGTAACAATATCGTCTTGTTTGTAAGGCTCATTATTACAATGGTATTTCAGAACTTGGTTTTAATTCTACATCTGCAAATCCAACTTTTACCCACAGTTCACTTTCTAAGGATGAAATTCTTCAAAATCACATTTAAGTCTTTAAAACTTTAATCATTCCTGTTAACGAAAGTGAGTTTGACCTACCCTGTCTAAAATGGATTCCTAAACTTCATAAAAATCCTTACAAAGATACATCGTTTAGTCCAGCATCTGCTCAACCAAGCCCCTATCTTTAATCCTCACAAAAAAATTACTGCTGTTTAGGAGAAACTTCAGACGTACTGTGCTACAGCATAATCGAGAAATGATGTAAATCAAATGTGGATACTCAAAAATTCCAAAAACCTTCTAGAAAATTTAAAGTCACCAAATTTTTCAAAGGTCAGTGACATCAAAACTAGACTTTTTGATATCATAGACAACTGTTTCTTCAATGAAAATTGATCATTTACAAAATTACTATGTCAAAAATCGTTCTGATTCCAAACAAAAGTACACTGAGGTAGATATAAAAAGGATGCTGAAGTTCCTCATTGACAATATTTATATAGTCTTTGGTGACCAGGTATGCCAACAATTGGAATTCTAATGTGCATTAATTGTGATCCTTTATTAGCCGACCTTTTTCATATACCTGTGAAGCAGAATTTATTCAAAAATTTCTACATGAGAAAAAGAAAGCACTACCTGTGACATTCAGATATATCGACGACGTTTTATCAATTAATAATAGCTACTTCCATCCATATGTCGACTCGATATATCCCAGTGAACTCGAAATAACACAGCACAGAGTCTGCCACATCTGTTTCATAACTGGATGTTTTACTGACAATAGATGACAAGGGCAAACTAACAACTAAAATGTACAACAAGCGAGATGACTTCAGCATTTCCATCGTCAACTTTTCTTTTTTATGTTATTATTAATATTCCACTATCACCTGCATATAGTGGTTATGTCTCCTAACTAATTCGATACCCAGAACATACTCTAAGTATATTTAAACCGAGGTAGACCACTGATAAAGAAGTTGATGATAAAGGATTTCAACAGCCTCGTTTAAAGTCAGCATTCGCAAGTTATGGTCGTTATAATGACATTGTTAACAAATATTATTATAACCTATCATTGGGTCATATTTTGACCGACATATTTCATACCCATTGTAAGGCCTTTGTTTTTATACTAAATTTAACTATGGATTACTCTGTCTACCTGATCAGTACACAAGGCTCACGGCGGGTGTGACCGGTGTCGCATAATATTTGGTCCGCCTCGTTTAAAGGTCCGAGGGGACCTAATACGATAACATATAAGGTCCGGCCTGCCTCTATAATAAAAGGTCCGCCTTCGGTTTAATATGCAGATTTTTCTCCTTTATTGATTCAGAATTAATTTGATTTATTAATCTTTTTAAATTATTTAAGGTATAGTTGTTATAAAAGTGTCCCTCCCAGCAAAATGGAGTTCCAGGGACGTACATGTATGTACATATTGTATATATACTAAAAGGATCAAGTCTTGCGATATCTCGCTAGTTACTGGATTTCGTTAGCCAATTTTAATTAATTATATTAAATTATTTTCTAATACTATGATTTATCTCGGTACAAAACCTCAAATTATCTATCAAAAATTATTCAAAATTTGATGTTAGCACTGATTAACTGTTAGCTCCTTATCGTAGTACATACCATGCATACCTCACAGATAGTGCACAAAACAAAAAATATAAAGATGCAAAGATCTGTTGATCGAGTTACCTTATGGGAAAATCATGTACGACATGTGTCTTTTATAGTTTAAGTGATATCAATATTATCATTGCAAAATAAAAAAAAATACATATCATTAATAATAATTATGCGTAATTCTTACAATTCATATTGTACCTAACTATAAAATAATTGGAGGGTCACTGTGACAGGG